ACGTGACGGTTTCTGGTACCCCGCAGGTCTCGCGCTGTTTTCACGCATCCATAAACAAGCGCATTAACCGTCTGACCGCGGACATAAGCGTCTGTTTCTGGAGCAAACTCGTGCTGTGATTCGGCCTCGAGACTGACGGTTTCGTGCGGATAACGGACGGATTCCGCTCTTACCTGAGTCGCTTTGTGAAACTGCTTTTTCAGCCCCGCCACAGACATCTCCCCGCGTTATCTGTTCCCGTCGTTCCGCTTTAAGTAACGGTTTTATGGGTGTTTTGAGGCGCACACATCCGTTGACTCGCCGAGCGTCTGGTCCCTGGACACGCGCGTGACGTAACACGACCCGCCCTGAGCGCGCGCGTTTGATGAAGCCCCAGAAAAATCAGATCTGAACCAATAACATCATAAAGCATCGTCCGTAAGGATTTCAGCACCGGGGGATTCCAGCACCGAGGGATTTCAGCACCGGGGGATTTCAGCACCGCGGACAGCAGCCGCGTCACGTGATCTCTCAACACGCGGCGTGAAATCAGATTCACTTCAGATGCTAGAGAACGGGGCTAGTTGTCACACATAGTAATTTCCATTGCTATTTAGTAGAGTGCATACGGTTGCATGCTTATTTTTGTCTCTTATTTGTAAATATAACTGATGTTTTATTCGGTACCACCCTTATGAAACCACCTTTGCCACAAGACAAAATAATAATAATTTAGACCGATATTCTGATAAAAATAATATTGTGGTGAATACTACGGGAAAACAAATGTAATTGCTACATTAAATAACTTAGCTCAGGCAAGAATGAAAAAAAAAAGAGAATAAATTCTATATTGGTGCTCAGTTTAAGCTTGTAGAAATTAAAGTTTGAACTTATAAGTATTTATAAGTGTTTACAAGGATTCTTTAAGTAAGTATCAATATTATGATCCTGCTGTTCCCATAATTCACTGGTGCATGAATAATTAATAAGGTTAAACATTTTCAGTTGTTTTTACACAGTTTTATGGTTGTTAGGTTTAGTGCTGTTTTCTGACATCCGGAGGTCATTTTCTACTCAAAATGACTCATTCATACTCATTTTAGTGTTTTAGCTAGATTTAGTGATTTGCAAATGCTTCCAAGGCTGTATTTTTAATGCTGTTTTATTGTATGTTGTATTGTTATGTGTATTTGTATAACTGGGCCAGGACACTCCTGTAAAAGAGATTTTTAATCTCAGTGAGGTTCTCTCCTATTTAAGTACACTGTAAAAAAAAATCCGTAAAATTTACGGTAAAAAAACGGCAGCTGTGGTTGCCGGAATTTTACCGTAAAAAATACGGTAACAACGTTTTAGGTTTTACGGTTTTAACTTAAATTTACAGTTAAATACCGTAATTTCATTACCTGATATATTGTTAATATACCAACCTATTGAAGTACTGAAATCTGAAATGTTGTACCTTTGTAATACACTGATAACCACCAAATGCAGGAGGTGATAATGTCCAATACATGTAATGTCCAATACAGTTTTTCACTGTATATAGTAGGGGAATTTACCGTTAACCATTTAACAGGTTTTTACTGTAGCATTTTTACAGTCTTTTACCGTTAAATTCACGGTCATTTTTTACAGTGTAGATTTTACTTAATTCCATGCTTAAATTTTACTTTAAAAAAATGTGTGCAAAAACTTGCAAAAGAAAAAATAAGTAAAGTTTACGTCCCCTTGAGCATCAGTGAATGTTTGCAGCTTTTGTAATAGTTATGTTTGAGTCTTTTAGTTGTCCTCCGGTGTGAAAATGTGGATCTCAAAGTCATACAGCCATTGTTGGAAAGGATTCAAGTATGCAGAATATGCACACAGAAACTCATAAACAACAATACTGTATGGGAAACGGGGCACAACTATAACGATAACTGTAACTATAAATAACAACTAAACGTTGTCAAAAGTTATCAACCAATCAGACTTCCACGACTGACCGATGAAAATGCTACATGAAATCTAATTGGCTGAGAGGGAACTGCACCTGGACTTGTTTTGGCAATCAAAGATGGATCTTTAATTTCGTTACAATTTGATAATATTTAGCAATATTAATCAAATGTATATTAGAAATGGCTGGGAGTGGGGTGCTTTGATATTTTGTACAAATAAATAACCTATAGTCTGTCTGTCTAACTGGTTGGTCAAACCCCTCGGAGCGATTTATCTAAAAACAACATATATTACAGCCTTTATGGCTCTTAAGACACTGCATATAAAAGATCAGTGTCATGTCATATATTATGTCAGATACCTCAACTGAATTTAAAATCAGTGCATTGAATTTTCAATCTGTACAATGATGTAATAATGTTTCCTATCAAATCAACATCAAATGTTAAATGTAAATTATGCACAAGATATAACAATAAATGCTGTCATAGAATCGCTGTTTGGACATTTATTGGGAGTTTTTTTTTTCATCCAGTTTGTTTTCACTTTTTTTTTTTCATGAAAAGCTACTTCACACCAGCTACACATTCAATGGCACTCTCCTCTAAGACAGTGAAAATACAGTTATATGAGAGTTACAGATAACTACATTGTCTGCAAATTCATTAAACCCGTAGAATATAACGGTGTTATGACAAATATGAGAAATTCGTTATGGAGGTATCTTTGTTCTCCACATTTTAATTATTTAGGGGCTAGTGCATCTGACATCAGAATATGTTAGAGTATTTTCTATTCATTGTTTTAGTGCAAGAGGGATGGCTCTACAACACAGTATTATATTCTCTAAAGGAACATTTTATCGCAAATTTCTCCATGAATGCATTATACTGAATTAAATGACCATCTTCACCTATCAAATCGACAACATAAATAACTTTTTTTCTAAAACCATTCTTGTTTAAATAGCGTCTTCCTATTTATTGTAATAATTATATTATTCCACAAGGTGGCTCCATGTGGTGTAAAGTTGTGGGTAAATATAATTTTCCAGTATTGCAATATCTGTTTGTGGAAATCTGAAAGCTTAAAAGGCAATTTAGAAATCTCGAAATCGCATTTCAACAAAAAACATGTTTTTACGCATTTCTAACCCACCAACTCTTTTAAATATAGCCTTTGGTGTATGAAACCAAATTTAATTAGGCTGTGTTAAATAAGATTTAATTTAGTTCAATGATCAGACAAGTTTAAAACAACAAACTGACGATTTATATGCTTAATCATCTGCAATTGTATATACATTGTGATTGATTGTGGCTGGAATTTTTAAGAACTTTGTAGGAAAGAATAGTCAAATGCAGAAAGTTCAAAATTTGCAATTTCTGGATTTTTTATTTCTAGAAAATATTCACATCTTACTTTAAATATACTCTATGTAAAGTAAAGTAAAGCTACTGTAATGTCACTGTAAACTTACATCATTTACAAGAGGTATACTTTAAAATAACTATTTGGCCATTACATACATACATTTTCAAATAATATATCCATCACATTAAATGTTTAACTTTTTTTGTATTTTGGCCCAGATCACTCTCATGTAGCTGTAAAAATAGTTGCCTGCTGAGATTGGAATATATACAACTTCATGACTAGATAGACATACAGGTGAGTTTCTCTTTATTATACACGTTAGGTTTCTCTATCAGGTGTAAATGTGAGTAATTCTGTCAGATCGTCCATCCATTGAGTGAGTGTGTACGGGTCGGCCAGTCTGGTTTTGTCCATTAAAGTTAACTTTTTCAAATAACAATCGCTGTCACGGCAGTGAGTGACCTTACATATTCAGATAAAATCGGATTTTCTCCGCTCATGTTTACTAACTTAAAAAGGGGTCTATATGGCTGCTCTATCAAAGGAAGCCCCGCCTTCTGAGTAAAAGAGCCAATCGCTAATCGGTACAGTCAGTGCGTCACTACAGCTGCCGAGGTTGCTATAGAAACAGTCAACGCTCCGAGTCGTGCAGTTATAGGACTGCGCATGCGCATTGGCTGGTCTAGCCTGAATACGCTTTTTTAACGCTATTTGAGCAAAAGAAACAACATTTATGAGACAGTTGTTGTCAGATTGGTGATTTCAAATATGAAATTTAATCGTAAGCTTGGCGAACAGTTTTGGAGAATTTGATCTTGAATCTTGAATCTGCTCTTGCATGCCCGAGAGGCGTTTCAAAGATGGCCGCCGAGTGGAATGACTTGCCTTAAAGGGTCTTTGGCCCAACACACCTATTTTATTTTGTTTCAAGTTCACAAATGCAATTTTTTTCATAACAACAACATGCACGGATGAATCTTCGATAAGATCAGGAACATATATTGTAAAGAAAAAATATTCGAAGTTGTAAATTAAAGATTATTACCACAGGAACCAGATGAGTCCTCTGCACAATGTGACTTTGCTGCAGCCTGGAACTGAACTGCTGGTTTCGTCTGGTCAGAGGAGAACTGGCCCCCGACTGAGCCTGGTTTCTCCCAAGGTTTTTTCTCCATTCTGTCACCGATGGAGTTTTGGTTCCTTGCCGCTGTCGCCTCTGGCTTGCTTAGTTGGGGACACTTAATTTCCAGCGATATCGTCGACTTGATTGCACGGATACTATTTAAACTGAACTGAGCTGGATGATGACATCCCTGAATTCAATGATGAACTGCCTTTAACTGAAAATTGAGTGTTTACTATTGTCATTTTGCATTATTGACACACTATTTTCCTATTTAATACTGTAAAGCTGCTTTGACACAATCTGTATTGTTATAAGCGCTATATAAATAAAGGTGACTTGACTTGATTATGAGAGTATGTTTTTACAAGAAAATACTATTTCAGTCTTTCGACCTCAGATTTTCATATTTAATTAAATGTGCTACTTGCCGTTTCTTGGTAATTATTTGTGAAATACACCAACGATTTCTGAGTGAAAATTGTAAATCCTTCACCAGATTCTTTTCGGTGTAGAGTCAGTTCTGATCTCATGTTGTCACAGTCACAGGTTGCTATGGTGACGACCTCTACGGTCACAGGTTGCTATGGTGACGACCTCTACAGTCACAGGTGGGGTCACAAGGCTCCTCTTTGACCTTTAGTAGAGGTTGACACCTGCCTTTCCATTGGTTATGCAAGTGGCTGTTGCTATGGTAACCGTACGGTGTCTTCCAAAGTTGTTTGTAGATGTACTGCGTGTGTGTGTTGGTCATTGGGGACTGGTTGCCATGGAGACTGTTGACCGGTTGTCCTGGTGATAAGTGATCGTGTTCCTCACTGCGAGTTTCTTGTTTAAGCTTCAAAGGTGTACTGGACTTCCGTGACTTCTTTTTCGGCGTCACGTCAATCACATCACTAAGGCCATTCTGATTGGCCGTACGATTGCCTGTAGCTCCTCCCCCTCCTCCTTCACGGATAACTGGAATCTGATGGTCAGTCAATGCAGTGTTGGTGGTTGCCATGGAAACCGGCGAGGTAGTTTCGCGCAAGGTCAAGACCGGTCGACGCGGTTGAGTGAGGAATCTGCGTGTCGCGTGTTCGACCGCGGCGTGCAGTCGCGGGTTGGGATTAGTGCTGTGTCGGTTGCGGCTGCGCAGTGAGCTGAACATCATGTTGCAGCCTTCGACAGTACAGCGGTGTTTGATCTTCAAGTGCACGGCGTTGAAGTGGATCTTCAGCGTTCCTTTATCGTAAAACGTCTTAGCGCACGCACTGCAGCTCACACGAGCTTTGCTCGAGGACGAACCGTTGCACCGTTCCCCGGTTCCCGAAGAGTCTGCAATCGGCCCGTCGACTCCCACTTGACGTTCTTCGTTTCGCAGGCGTTTCGGTGACTGCGTGGAACTTCGTATCTGCAACGGCCTTTCAGGTGCGCCATCTCTTTTGTTTCTGGTTCTCATTTCATCTGCGCCATTGTTCCGTTTGCTGAGCCGCTGTAGTTTTTGTGTCGCAGGATGACGCTCCACAGCTGGTGAGGGTGGAAACACGGATGCACTGACGTAGTGAAACGGCTGCAGGAACGCTAGACTTCCTCCTGGCAGATTCTCAAAGTGGTGCGTTCTGGAGGGCGGTTTATCTCTCAGCTTGAACGCGGGGTTGCGATGGGTTTCTGGGCGGATCTGCTGCTCCTCGGCCATGAGCTCCACGATGGATTTGGTTTCCCCAAAACGTAGAAACTGACGCAAGGTCACGACCTCGTCCTCCGGGCTCATGGTGACCCAGCGATCCAGAACCATCCCCACAGAGTCCTAAAGGATGAGAGTTAAGGCCTGTTCAGACGTGGGGTGATAACTGTAACGGTAACTTATTAGCGTCCACAGCAGCAGATGATAACCTTGTTTATTATTAGGGTTGCAAGGGGAAGTCGTGGCCTAATGGTTAGATAGTCGGACTCGTAACCCAAAGGTTGCGAGTTTGAGTCTCGTACCGGCAGGGATTGTAGGTGGGGGGAGTGAATGTACAGCGCTCTCTTCCACCTTCAATACCATAACTGAGGTGCCCTTGAGCAAGGCACCGAACCCCTAACTGCTCCCCGGACGCCGCAGCAAAAAATGGCTGCCCACTGCTCCGGGTGTGTGTTCACGGTGTGTGTGTGTTCACTGCTGTGTGTGTGCACTTTGTATGGGATAAATGCAGAGCACTAATTCCTAGTATGGTCACCATACTTGGCCACATGTCACTTCACTTCACTCAAAAAGGTGGAAAATCTCCAGTAAATTTAGGAAATATTCCAGAAATTTTAGAAACTTTACGGAAATTTACCGGAAATTTTCCACCCCTTTGCAACCCTATTTATTATAGGTTTTGTCGTCTGCCGCTATAATCGCTAATGCTGTTTCATGCATTCTGAGTTATTTACACTGTTAAAGAGTTGGATTCTCATGCTAAACATGGCCAAAGATTCAAAAAACGAGTTGGACGAATGACGAATGTATTTCTGTGCCAAATACACTCCTTCAGGGTTCATATAAGTTTCGGAACGTTTTTTTCCCTGTATGATGTCATAAAGGGCGGGATTTCATTGTAGAAGCGCGCAAACATCAGCCAGAACGCGAGCAAGAGCAGCCCTTCAACATGCTTCATTCGTTAGCCATAGTAATTTAAAGGTGACATATCATGAAAATCTGACTTTTCCAGGTTTTAAGTGCTATAATCCGGTCCCCGGTGCATCTACCAACCAAGGAAACGTGAAAAAGATTAACCCAGTAACTTTGTTTTGGGAAGCCTTTTTCTGCAAGCGTCTGAGAAAACAAGCACGTCTGATTTCGCTCCCTTGGTGACGTGGCAAAGGGATCTCATTATAATATTACTGCCCCTTAATCTGTAAGTTTCCAGCCACGGCGCCGTCATTGTGTTTTCGCAAGCGACAACGTGTAATGCCATGGCGAAAATTTTAGCAAAACATGCTAACTGTTCTGCCTTTGTCTGCACAGATGAGCACAGAACACTATTTAGATCTAAAATAAACATGCAAATTATTTCCCAGCTGTTTACCTTCACAGACATAACCGACTCACTGTTTTTGTAACTCGTGTGTTTTTAATGTAAACTTGTGTATGAATGAGAACTTAGTTTAGTACTCACATGCTGTGACAGCCGCTTTCTGTCCGTGTGCTTCGGCTGTGGGCTCTCAAAAAACCCTATATCATAAGTTTAAACTCATATGGCTCATTTGCATTTAAAGAGACAGGCCCGAAAAACAGCGTGTTTCTGCTTCCACTCAAAATAGGCATTTTCAAAATGATATAATAAATGATTTGTGGAGTATTTTGAGCTGAAACTCACAGACACATTCTGGGGACACCAGAGACTTATATTACATATTGTAAAAAGGGGCAATAAGTCAATATAAAATATCCTTTAAGTCAATAAAATTTTTGTTCCCGTTTTATTTATATCGACGTCACAGCTTGCAGACGATCGCTACGCAATAGCTGCGCATGCTCGTGGCTCTTTAGCTCCACACACAGCTGTTTTCGGAGAGAAGTGTAAAGCTGTATCTGTCTTTTATAAATCTGATAAAACTAAAGACTCTTCAGAGACTTCAAGGATGCAGTACTACTCTATAAGTACTCGAGATTAACTCTGTGTTATGTCACCTTTAAAGTCGGATGGATTCTGGTTGGCTGTAATGTTTTTATTGTTCATCAGATGGAAAAAAAAATGGCTCTGAAAGTGATTCCAACAATATTGTTATCCTGTGTCATTATCGTTAGTGTGGACTTTGCTATTCTTATAAATAGAGCGATTATTACAGTATATCTGCAGAGTTTTAAAGTCAAACGTACTTTTTAATACCTGCACAAATACAATTAATACTGTATGTTCACAAAGAAACAAGCCTAAAAATAAATCATGTATTTCATATTCTTTTACTTGCTTAAACAGGCTGCGGCACAGGACTTGTGTGTGTGTATGTATGTGTGGCTTTGCATAGTGAAACAGACATGTATGTGTGTGTGTGTGTGTGTGTGTGTGTGTGTGCGCACTGTGCATGTGTGTTTTTGCGTGTATGTGTGTGTGTGCAGGTATATACTGTATGTTTTTGCATGTGTGTGTGTGTGTGTGTGTGTGTGTGTGTGTGTGCATGTGTGTTTTTGCATGTGTGTGTGTGCAGGTATATACTGTATCTTTTTGCGTGTGTGTATATGTGTGTAAATGTGTTTTTGCATGTATGTCTGTGTTTGTATGTTTGTGATTGTGTGCCTGTGAGTGTGTGTGTGTGTGTGTGTGTGTGTGTGTGTGTGTGAGTGTGCAAGTGTGTGTTTAC